GGTGTTCAAGGCCAGATTGGATGGGGCCCTGGGCAGTCTGGTCTAGCATTAGGTGGGATGGTTGGTGGCCATGCATGTGGCAGGGGGGTTGGAGATTCATGATCCTTGAGGTCCCTTCCAACCCTGGCCATTCTGTGTTTCTGTGATTCTGTGAACAGAAATCTGGGAGTTTCACCTGAGGGGGAAGATGGGGGAAAATGGAGATTAAAAAAAATGAAGAAGAGAGCAGTAGCTAGAGCAGGGAGGGGAAACAAACTAAGCTTCTCCCTCTCCTCTCTAACTCTGTTGTCTTTATATGGTATGTCTAATCTTAAAACACGTCTCCTCTCCTTGTTCCTGTGTACCAGCCCATGATCACAAGCTTTTATCCTATCATGCTCCTCATTCCCTCCATTTTGCCACCCATTCCCTCTCTGCTTTTCCAGAATTTTCATTCCCAGCTTTGTTACAAACCAGGAAGCCCCAGGAAGAGCACGTGGCCTATTCCTTCTGGCGTTGTCAGACTGCTCTACATAATGCTGAAGCAGCAAGAGTCAACCCAGTCTACAGAAAGATTAAGAGGTATTACACAAAGTGATCTGGAAAAAAAAATAATGAATTAAAAGACCCTAGATTTGTTGGTTTGTTTCTAAAAGCCCTGAGTGGTTCCTTGTCTCTGTGAAACACCCATACTAGGACTGTATGAGCAAACACAGGGGAGACAGCTATGTTTCAAACAATCACTTTGGACAAAATAAAGCAGCACTGGTAGATTGCCCATACTATACACTATGTTTTCCTGAATGAAACGATCCTTCAATTCTGACACCGTCATCTTGGATAAATGATGCTACCCTAACTGGGTAATCAACTGAAACAAATAAAAATAGAGCCTATCACACCATCAGTTTTTAACTCAGAAATCCTTACTGACCTCAACAGGGCATTCTACCGAAAAGGTAATGGGACAAAACGTGGGCCTAGCAAAGTACTTAGTAACGTTCATTTTTCTCCCCTAGACAAGGAATCGCAAAACAGGTCATTTAAATCCAAAAGAAAGATGGCATGCGATTTGCAGCCTGATTTCATTATCGATCAGTCAGTAAACTGACTTTATTTACAACCTATCTGATGCGCTTCATAAGAACCCAAGAAAGAAGACTTTCCTCAATTTTCTAAAACATTCAGCTGGCAGCATTTCAGTGTTTGACACAGCGCAGTAAAACAACAGTGGCAAACTCTCTACCAGAGAGATGTATTACAGATCACTACAGTATTTTACAGGTTTCTTTAGTTTATCTGGCCCTGCTTTCATCCTAGAACTTTTTAAAGTGACTGCCATGCATTCGGTTGAAGGGATACATTCATTTTTCCAAACTACAGAATGTCCCTCTCTAGTAGCAGAAAGCATTCAGAGCACTGCGCTGCAAAATCCAGAGATCCTAGAAAAAGAATTTGCGAACCTCCATCTACTTCTTATTTGTGGGAATAATGGAGACTGTCACCAAGGACTTTTAAAATATATCTAGGCTATCCAAAAGCAGCTACCACAACTTATTTTTGAAAAATGTCCTTTAGTATGTTTTTTGACAGCCCCTCATTTGGCAAGACTCTAAATGGGTCTCCTTTCTCTTCTTTCCAAAGAAACAGTACCAATGTTCAAGAACCAACAGCAGAATGCTAATGACTTTACTGAAGGTACTGAAATCTTTCTGTAGTTTTTCTCCTCCTTTTAAAGCAGACACATACAAATTATAAGGAGTCTTCATGAGTTAGGGAAAAAAAAAAAACTTCACACAAAGCATAAATTTCAGTGTGCTTGCAGTTTAGACAGGTTCTAAATATCCAGTAAAACATCTTACAAAATGTCATGCATCAAACAGACGATCTGTTGAAACTGCATGTACTCAATAATGACTCTTTTGCCTGATCTCAGAGCCCAGCGCAGTCATTAATGAGAGTAAACTCTTTGTTCTTTCAATCCTCACTCACTCATTTTTATCTTCAGAGCAAGCATTTTCATGACACAAGGGAAAAATTCCCTTTGGTTAGTCTAGATCTTGAGTCAAAGTCTGTCCAGCTCACATCCATATTCAAGAGATAAACACAGTTGAGTTCACAAATTGTCAGTCCTACTAATATTTGAAGTTTTAGAGCATATAAAGTGGAGTCAAAATACAGTGCTTTCAAACATATTTGAGCTTAAAAACAGCATTTCAACTACATAGGCAGAGATTCTTTTCAGCTAGAGCTCTATTACATGTGGCATAAATTACAAGGCTTAAGAGAGGATGTTGCTTACTTGTAATATCAACCTCAGCATTTGCAAGTGGAGGCAGGTTAGGTGAGGAAAAGGCATTGAAACTCCCAGCATCCACCTTAGTCACCCTATTTCCCCTGTACAGTTTATTATAAAAATACAGGCACACCTGCAAAACAAGTAAAGAAACAGGTCTATGAATAAGCCAGTAATTAAAAGATTCAGTAGATAAATACTATAGTCTGTCCTTCATAAAGTGTTTTCTAAATCTTTAAAACTACTCAGAGGCCAGTAGATGTTTACAACTCCTACCCTTTCAAAAAGAGTTGGCACATCTGTTGCACGTTGGTTTAAGAATTTAAGAAGAAAATAGGTTAAGAGCTAACAAGTTTCATAATCCTCTTATGAAGTAGAGTCTAGGAGACAGCAAATTTGCCTGAGCCCACTTCAGAGATAGAGGAAAGAAACAACGTGTAACATTTGTGCACACTTACATCTAAATTCAGAGTCCAAAATCTTAACAAAAGGCCTAGTGGAAATGAAGGATAACTTTCAAAAATATAAATAATATTAGATTTCTTTTCAAGCCCCTAAAATTCAATTGGAATTTGAACAAAAACAGATACCTCAAAGTTGCTGTTAGTTATGAAGATCTTGGCCTTGCTGTAATATCCTGTAAAGACTGGCAAGCATGGCAGATGTTAAATAAGGAGTAACCTGATCAGATTTCTCTCAGATTTTTGGCTTGCATAGCATCATTATCTTTAAAAAAAGGGTGCTCAGACCATGGAGATGCTTCCATGTTTATTATGTGTATCATCCATGACACTTCAGTCTTCAGGTACTAGAGCTAGAAAATACTGCTATCAGTTCTAGCACAACTCAAGAACTTCAAAGTAACTTTCAGTTCAAACACTGACTTAGAAATGCTTCAGATCCCACACATTTGTAAGGGAATCTCTTATTTCAAGCCTGCTGCAAGCTAAAATTCAGACTAGATAGTCTTTATAGATTGCACACAGGCAAAGTGAGGCATTAATCCTGAGAAAACAGTGTGCGCTTTGCCATGCAACGGACTGTTACCTCAGCAGAATCTTTTTTTTTTTTCTTCCCCTTTCAAGTGCAAATCCTACCAGATATTTTGAGTGTTTAAGTATGTGTCCTAGCTAGAGGGAGAAGAGCAGCTGTCAAGATGGTCTTCACAGGCAGACAGACCTCGGGAATCACGAACTGCCCAGCAAAAAGCAGTGCCCCCAGAAGGTTGGTTCGGCCGTCATTCCGCAACTCATATATGGGCACCTGAAGAGTAGAGAATGAAATTAAACCCCATCCCTTCCATAAAGCCTACACAGCAGGAAAAAAAAAAAAAAGAGAAGAATCCAACTTATGCAATAGAGATACATGAATAATTCATATAACAATGATTTATGACAAGTTTACTTCTTCATCCAAACTATTTTAAACTACAGCAGAAGGTGGGGTTTCCCTCTGCTTATCCGGCTTCTATAATGTAATGCTTAAAGATAACGTAGAGATGATTCTAGGATGATTAAGCAATTGTTTTTAGAAGGAAAAATATCAAGAATATAAAGTAAGCAAACTCAGTTTACGTGACTGAACATGGGAGAAGTACTTGCACAGAAGCAAGTCTCAGTTCATACAGAACTGCCTCTACGGCTTCAGAACAGCTCTCTTGCACCATCTTTCCTCACAGTAGTGTACAAGACCTGAGCCAGCAGGTTGTTACTGATGGAAATGGACAAGATTAAAAACAGAAATCTGGTCTGCTGAATGACAGGTATGACCTCCATGCCTTTGCAGATTGTGTCTTTATTAACAAAGAGTCAGAGCTTCTTTCAGCAAAAAAATGTCACGTGCTCTATTGCTAAATCATGCCAGGCAGCTCCCCAAATAATTAAGCAAAAAAAAAGTAAAACCTTGAATACGATGTACAACTGGACTGTTCCATGTCAAGTCACTAAGTGGTAGCCTACTCCTTCATAGACTTTCGTATTTTGACTTCAAATAGACCACATGTGAAAGGGAAGTTATGAGATGTCAGAGAAGGGTTTTACAGTGCTATGTTTCATCTCTCTTTGTGATTAGAGCTGTATTTTACACTCAAGCAAGCTATTCTAGTAAGACAACCCTTCCTCCTCTGACAGTATGCAAAGGTCTGATCTCCAGCTAAGAGAATGAAAATTAATAAATCTTGTCTTTAGAGGAAAAGACAGACTGTGCAAGATGCTTTGTGGAACAGAAATGATAAAAAATGCATAAAATGCTGAGAGATTGTAAAAAATGAGAAATAATACAACAACGAGTAACGTAAGATGGGCTAAGAAATGATGAAGTAAGAAGTAATAAGCTTCAGGGCTTTAAAACAAACAACAAAAAAAAGACAGCTAACAACCAGCAGCCACCTGAGGCTGGAAAGATGCCTCTCATATAAACAGATTATTACACAATGGCCAATGAGAGGCTCTTATATCTTTCTCTGAAGCATCTGGCTCCAACCATAATGAACTACTGGTCTGATGTGGTACGGAGTTGTAAAGTCACTAATGATAAAATTATGGGGCAGATCCTCAGCTGGTAAGCCTGTCAATTCTCACTGATTTCTAGCAGCACTGTGAGCATCACCCTGGCAAGGGGCCTGTCCTGCACTACTAAAAGCCATAATGACAGTTAAGATTCGACAAAGTTTTGCATACAAAAACAGAAAATGAAGTTCTATTTCAAATAAAGCCCATTACCTGCGATCCTGTCAGAACAACAGTTTTACCCAGGTTCTCACACATGAAGGATAAGGCTGAAGCTGTGTATGCCATTGTGTCAGTGCCGTGGAGGATCACAAAGCCATCATACTTTTCATAGTGCTCCTGGAGACGGAGAGACATTTTTTCATGCTGTTAGAACAATGCACTGGCATCAAAGCGATGGATGGAGCGCATGACTTTCACTGATGCAAGCAACAGTGTAATACTTTAAAGGGTACTGCACGGGTAATTCCTCCTCAAGTATCCACATTTTCAGTTTAAACATAATTAAGGGTTAATAGGACAATAAACACTACAGCTGGTAATTCTAATTAAGGAACAGTCAAAGAGATTTTTCTGTGTATACATATTAATGCAGCATTTTTAAACCAGAAGACTGCTAATTAAGAAAAGCTTAGCAATGGCTCAAAACAGGAATGTTAACATATGCAAATCAGTCGCATGGTCTGATTTCTTGTTGCTGCTTTCACTGAGGGGATTACATCATTTACGGGAACAGAAGAGGCAAATCGAGGCTATCATGATGTACATATAGAAAAAAACAGCCCGTTTAATCCGGTTGGCAGCCAGGCAGATTGCCAGTGTAAGAGTGCCCTCTTCTGTTTAAACGTCATCACTTCTCAAGCAGTACTCTGTTCCTGCAGCTCCACAGCTGGGAGCCATAAGGATGGCTGGGGCCTGGAGCATCTCCCTTGTGAGGGCAGGCTGAGAGCCCTGGGACTGTTCAGCCTGGAGGAGAGAAGGCTCAGTGGGGATCTTATCAGTGCTTATAAATAATGAATGGCAGTCAAGTGGATGGGGCCAGGCTCTTCTGGGTGGTGCCCAGTGACAGGACAAGGAGCAGCGGGCTCAGACTGAAACACAGGAAGTTCCATATGAACATCAGAAAAACTTCTTTACTGTGGAGGTGACGGAGCACTGGAACAGGCTGCCCAGAGAGGTGATGGAGTCTCCTTCTCTGGAGATACTCAAAATCCACCTGGATGCTTTCCTGCCCAACTGTAGGGAACTCCTTTAGCAGAGGGTTGGACTGGATGATCTCCAGAGGTCCCTTCCAGCCCCTACAATTCTGTGATTCTGAGATGCAATCTACATACAGTTCTACACAGGAAATTTTTAATGTAAAGCCACTAATTACTCTTTGTCCTGATGGCATAAAATCATCAGCTGGCTTTCAGAAGAAAAAGGAACTGGTTCCTCTATTTTAAGAGTGATGCGCATAGTAAACACTTCAGTCAGAGACACTGATGTCTCTAATGTAATTTGGTTTACATGGACGTGGTTATATAGCAGTCTGGGCAAATACAAAAAGTGCCAGTGGGAATCTGTTTTTTATTTTCCATAGAATTAAATCAAATTTCTTTTGAAGCAGATTTCTTATGTTGGGTACACACACTTGGCATCTCCTGTTATTATGGTCAGCTCCTAATCCACCCACACATTTCTACTTGTCCTTTACTACTCCTTCACCAATACTCATCCCTGCATGTTGCTATCTACTGAAAGTTTCAGTGGAGTCCTGTTTATTTCTCACTGGTTAGCCCACAGAACAACAACCAACGCTGCAAGATTTTTCTGTAGGCCAGAAACTGGGATGCATAAAGTGTGCTGCTGTATTCATCAATGCTGAATCAACATAAGTGAATTCCAAGGGCTAAAATCACAGAAATAGCCGCCTGTCCTCTCTAATTCAATCCGTACACTTCACTAATACTTTTAGCCTTATGAATCTTACTGAATGATAAAGAACACAGCTTGTCTCAAGCTTCACCATACAATAGATCAGCCTGTTAAGAAAAAATCGTGAAGAAATGACTTAAGAGTGTTCCATTCTGAGAAGTCTCCAGTGTGTTACAGCTGCACCAAGGAAGCACTCAGGATGAACACAGCGTGGCAGTGTATAACCACAAGCTGGATAGCTGAAGAATTTTTTTTTCCTTCTCAGCACTTTTCAATTGGACTGCATGTACTGGATGCAGAAAAGCTGGATTCTGCACATATTTTTTGAGAAGTTGTAAAAAAAAACCTGATGTCCCATTAAGGAAGAAAGGTAAATTTTCTCCTGTTCAACATGCCTTCTTTAAGATGCCCTACTCTCAGCCCTGGGCTTTTCCCAGCTGCATCCCTATTCCATATCCTGTCTCGTCTCTGACCTGTCAAGATGCATTCCATAAAAGAAGCATCTCCCTTATTTTGATGGTTTCAGGATTAGAGGATCTAAAGGTCTAAGACTGTTTCATAATCTTCAGTAGCATTCCCAGCATTATTGTACCTTTAGTGAAAATTGGTACAGCTTGGTGGAAGACGACTTACAACACAAAGAGCTGCAGAATGAGGAGGAGTGGAAGAGCAGAGTCTTTGCAGGCCCATGGTTACCTACTGCTAACAGCTACATAAGAGTTCCTGATTTGAAGTATTTAAAATGTATCACATTTCTGCTTTCTTAAAAGCACATAGTTAAGAAATGGGAAAAGAAGCAGAGAAATGCTCTTAATCTAGAGAAGGATATAATGAGTTTATCTATATATACAAAAATATTTAGGGCTTTGATCATTTCCCAGTGTATAAAAGCCAACCTTGGTAACACTTTTTCTCCTGGTTGCAAAACCAAAGCCAGTCAGGACAGTGTCTGAGTAAGAAAGTGTGAAATTATTTCCTATACTAACTATTAATCTAGCAGAACATTCAAATGCTGTATAACTATACAACCTTCTGCTAAGTTACCTGCACCTAAGGATTTTACATGACATTTTTCAACAGTGAATCAAAGCCAACATTTTATAACACGTTAATCTATATATTACATATCTTATTCAATCACAGCTGCAATTTTTCTTTTCATTTTGTTTTAAAGAATTATGGCTTGTCACAGGAAGAGCTATGTAACAAATGAGTTTGCAGCCTTTTCAAAATGCAAGCTTTGCAAGCACAGTACTTGTTGCTTTACAGTTAACTAAGAAACAGGGGTGACAGGCAGTCTCACATTGTTATACCTTGCTAAGTATACTAAACACAGTGCTGGTTTTGTTTTAGCAACAAATGAAGTCTTATCCCACACCACAATACCTCAAGTTTCTTTGCAATTTTGGCCCAGTCCTCCGGTGTCATGTTTGAAGAATCAAGTAGTGGTGACAGCTCCAGGATTGTGTAGAAAATTCTTTTGTTTTGCTTAGAGACACTAAAAAGAAAGATAATTCAGGAGAAAAAAAATAAATCACTATTAAGGCTAACAGCAGCTCATCGCCTCTCATTTTTTTCACTAAAGAAGTAACTTCCCCCTGTATCTGCAAGTCTGTAGCCAAAGAAATGGTCTTAAATTTGAAACATTAAGTTCCCAGTTTAGAAACTCATGACTTGATGTGGTCTGAAGCACAAACACTTCAATTTACTAAACTTAAATTTGGGAGGTGGGGAGAAGTTGGCAAAAACAAAGGCAGGTAAGAATAATGCAGAGTCACTTTGTTTAAGTTTGGAATTGAGTTCTAACGTAAGTTCCTATCAAGCCTTATGGTTTAAAAAATGCTTCGTAAGCTATTGAGAGGAATCTGTAAAGCTCCCAAGATACACAGAGGGTTCACAGATGAGTTTCAACAACTGCTTAATGCTGTGATAACTACAAATTCCTTGCAACGAAGGGAGTCTTCTCTTCAGAGTCTTAGGACTGGCCTTTATTTTTATAGCTTTTACAAAGTTTACTTTCCTTGGTTTCTCTGACCTCAGATTTCAGAAAATATTTCTGTTTTTAGCTAATACATCAAGTAAACTGTTGCCAAATGACCCACAGTTCCCTAGTGTTAGACTACCTTCCTCAAGTCCCAGCTTAACCGGCCTGTTAACATCTGACATCTAACATCATTGGTACCAGACATCTCTTGTGAATGATGTGGACTTTAAGCATGAAATAATATCAAAGATCTTAAAATACTGGCATAGTTGGAAACAATGGCCCCACTGGTAATCAGTCATTGGCTACTGCACAAGTGCAACCTCAATAACTGAGAAGAGACTTCTCTCAGTACAAGGCAGATGGGACACAGCAACTATGCAAGTAAAAAAGAAGTCAAGTACACGTGGGGCTGAGCAATGCAATGCTTTCAAACTTCACATAGCATGAAGCCCAGCAGAAGACGACCAAAGATAAAGAACTGTCTAGACACTGAGTACCTTATAGAAGTGCAAAATTCCAAATTTAGAGGGGAATTTTCAATGTCAAAGGAGAAGATGACTGCGTAGTTCCGGTGGGATTGTTATGGCTGTCTGTCCTTCCCACCTCCAAAGACCACCCATCTCCCTTTCTTCATCTGAAATCTGACTCTTCCAAGAGCTTTGAACTGCCAGCCACATGGGCTACAAACAGAGCAGGTGTTTTACCCCCACGAAATTTCCCTTTTCTCCACCTTCTTTAACCCCTCAGTATAGCCAACTGCATATAAATTGAGCTTTTCTAGTTACAAGGTTTGAGTTACAAGGTTTGGGGTAAAAAAAGAACTCCCCTGCAACTATTTTCTGCTACCTTTTTTGAAGCTTGGAAAAGAATAGAATATCCCCCATTTTCACAAATTCTTATGTTAGCATTTTAAAGGAAATTTTCAAGCTAGGAATGAGAAAGACCACAACTCCTGTCACTAAAACTAACTTACAGACATGCTGTCTGCTACAAGGATAAAATGACAAGGAAAAAAAAAAACATTTAAAAAAGCCTGAGAAACAGATATATACTTAACAGTCAGAATATGTTTGTATTTAGCAATGTGATGGCAAACAAGCAGCTATCACATCAGAACTACCAGCAGGCCAGCTCAGCCCTTTCTACTTTCCCTACCAAGCAAAGCCAGCCAGTAGCATGGCCAACAGCATCACCTTCAGAGCATTCTCAATGTTACTCCACTGCCTGATGATGATGCAAAGTTTTGTTTAACTGTGATTAATGCTTCTACATTTATTTCCTATGAGTGTAAGACAGTCAAAGGCCATGGTACTCCACAACATATGGATGTGCTTAGAGCACGGAGTTCATTGCCTTCCCTCAGCATTTGCAAGTGCTGTTTTTTCCTTACTTGCTATTCTTGCTTATAACAATATAAAATATGCAATAAAAAATAAATCACCTAAAAAAATCTGAGCAACCACTCCCCATATGAAACCTATGTGAGCGTTGCTTACAGTAGAGAAAGTGCTTAATCAACTGACTGACTGTAATTAAGATATCATATGAAAAATTGCTTTATTGGCCATCACATTTATACGTGCTGCCTAAGAGCAATTTCATAAGACAGTAGAAAATTTGTGAAAAGAGCTTCTCAAGAAGTGTTGCTTAAATAACACACAGCATACCACAACCAAGACCAGCCTACTCTTCTGCTTTTGACTCCTCTTCCCGAGAAGGATGATCATTAGATGGTATCTTTGTTATTACATCAGAGTTACAACACAATTGCACAAAGTTCACAAAATACTCCCATTTTCTTCTTCAGAAAGCTGCGTTATTTCTCAGCTGCCTCGTTAAAATATCACTCAGGTAGCACAAAAGAGGAAATGGCAGATTGCCACAACTGACTTCTGCAAATGGCACACAGCAGTGCCAGAAAAAAGAGGACAGGACTGTTTTTTAAACTTCAGGTCTTGATCTGAATTACTGTTTCAAGGTTTTCTGCTCTTTGTGGAAAACATATACCAGAAAAAGTATATTTAGGAGTCCAATATGCATTTTAAATCCCCTAAAGTATTTAAAAGCTATTCAGTTAGCACTGGAACAAATCTCAAATTTTCTTGGTATAGCCATTGGATTTAACATAAATTGTGTATTCACATCCATATCAATCTGCTGAGAGTTCATTATTTTCCCTTCATTCATCTTCCTGCTGTCTGCCTTTTAAGAATTTACTTTTAACACAGAGACCTTAGTACAAAATAGAAAGAAATTAATAAACCTTACAATTTGTTTTTATGATTTTTTGCATAAAGTTTAAGGAATATCCATTTGCACTCTTATAAAAAACAGCAACAGTCCTATTTATTCTTGAGTGATTGTAAAATCATCCTTTGTGCCAAGTTAACATGTTTACAGGGGCAGTCATTCATCACAGCTGTGGAATATCTCAAATTAGCAGACTGCCCTCTAAATAAAACCTAAAAGCTTACTAATCATTGCCCAAGAGTTAAGAAGCAATGCAGATTAATTGTAAGCCCAATCAGCTATTATCATAATGTTGCATAAATTTGGGAAAGACAATCAGCTTTTGGGTTTAAAAAACAAAAAACAAAAACAGAAGGCCTGCAGAATTAAAACATGAGGCCTATTCATGGATGCATTAATTAGATGCTACTTTATCAGGCATGCCAAAGATAATGCACACAGAGCTGTATTTGCAGCTTTCCTAGCTATTTGGGAATATCTGTATGCTTGCATAGTAGCCATTAATATCAAAATCCAGAAAAAATATAGGACTTAAGCTGCCCAGAATGTCTGCTTGTTGACAAATTTATAAGTAATTTCTCAAGCAGTTTTATGACACTTCATATTTTGCACAGTACCAGGAACCCCAGGCTTTTTCCTTTTAGAATCATGGAATCACAGAATCATTAAGGTTGGAAGAGCCCACTAAGATCATCCAGTCCAACCATCAACCCACCCCCACCACGCCCACTTTTAAGTCAATATAAACATTTTTGCTAATTTCATAGTAGAACCCCCATATCAATTGTTTCAGAGACAATTATTTTAAAATCTACACAGTTCCCTCTCCCCAGGGAAGAAATACTTACGGGAGCACCAGTGTGTCATCTGGAAATTCATGGAGGTTGCGCAGTTTTGTTTCCTGGGCATATGCATCATCATGCAGCATTGGCATCGTCTTCAAGCTGCTTACCAACTTATTGGCCTCAGGAGCAAGTCCTGAAAAAAAAATATATATAAATAAATAAAGTAAATAAAGGATGGAAGGTAGTGAGTAGCACCAAAAAGGGGGAAGAAATCAGTTTATACAGCTTGTGGCCCGTCCTTCTCAATGTAACATGAACAGTCTACTGCCAGTTCAGAATGTGAGAACAATGTAATCAATAAATCTCTGCGCAGTTATTCTTTTCCAGGCTTTAAATAAATAAATAAATCCCTTATTTGGCAGAAATAAGGTTAGGAATCCCCTGCGTATCATGTGTGTATGTTTTACCTAAATTGTTGTCTGTGTGCAAATACTGATAGCAAAAAGCTACCATTCTTTTTGCCATAGCAACCCTCTCGCCAGTGACGGGATATTTACCAAACACTGGACGTTGTTTTGCACTACAAAGCTGTGATATTTTTGCTTAAGCTCCTTAGCTTACGTCCTACAGATGTACTGGCACAGACAGCAAGGTGCTACTATGGCTGTATTGAAAAGCTGTGCGTTAGGTCTTACTGTCAGTGGCAACAGCATTTGCACAAAGGGGAAAAAAATAAAAGGGAAAGCCTATACAAATCCCACACTAGGTATTGAGCATAGGCAGATACAGAAAAAGATCTGTTTATAAAGACAGAGAAATAGCAGCTTGCCAGATGAGTCCTAAATACTGAGTTCCCCATCAGCCTCCCTGGAACAGGAGCTTTCCACCAGCAGGTTGAGGACTGAACACCTTAACTGACACAGTGGAGATACATGAGGACTAGATGACCTTAGAGGTCTTTTCCAACTTTAATGATTCTATGGAAGTGTGGATGCATCCTGAGCTCTGTTCACCCTCTCCCTGCCCTGGACATCCTCCTATCTGTCGCAATGACCTCAAAGATGGCTGAGGCCTACACCAGCCCAAGCCTCTGAAGGATGTGCTGTACCTGCAGGCATTCTGGGGGCAATCAGGTATTTCAAAAGGAACCCAAATGCTGCTCTCTGCTAGCTAAAAAGGCACCTTCAACGTTTAACGTTACATTTGGTTTGACAGAGCTGAGTTCCACTGTGAACTCAGCCTACAGCTGCTCTAATAGTGGTAGGATGAAGGTTGTCTCTGTATCTGGCTGCTGAAATGAGCTGAGAGGAAGACGCTCTGAATTTAGCAAAGTGAAACATTACATATTTTATTAACTCTTATATCTTTAAGTGCCAGCAGCACATTAGGAGTTTCTGGATCAGCAGTATTCCAATTAGATTACAACAAATCCAGTTATAAGATTATATTGCAGTGTTCAAGCAGAGGCACTTCTTTCTGAACTCCAAGATTCCGCTGGTCCTGCTGTGCAGTCCTACCTGCTCTGACAGCGAAGAAATTCTCAAACCTCATAATTCAACTTCTGCCAGGTCCAGTCAGTCACAGTTTGAGGCTAAATAATCAGAGAATCATCACCACCTGGTCCAACTCCCCTCCAAGGAACAGGGACATCTACAGCTAGAAGAATTCTCTCCCACTTCCCAGCTCTTCTGTTTGCCTGAATATCATTTGCACACAAGTTCACATCTTTTTTATTATTTCATCTTCAAACAAGTTTGTTCTTTAAAATATTCCAAAATACAGAGGAACAGCAACAGCATTAGCTGAAGTGCACGCAACCTGCTTTACTTTCCAAACTGATGGAAAATCCTTAAGAATGCCCTAATCTCTTTCCTGGCTTGCCCTAAATGAAGTACAAGGCCTTTTCATAGCCAGCTTCCTTGCAGGATGGCAACAGCATTTGAGTGGCTTTGGTTGGATTCCTACTGGAACATTTTGTTTTACAAAATATACTTAACGTGCTTCCAGCTTTGGATGTTTTGTTCCTTCAGTTACAACCCCTGCTTATTCCTATTAAAGATGTCCCCAGCTTACTCACAAGTGGCCAGTGCACTTGGATATAGAGTCATCCTGGCTCTGAAGCTCCACACAGTAGCAGAGTGTTTTTTTGTTTTCCCATGTTCACCTTACTCTGAATACTGGCAATGGATTAGAGAGCTTACTTCTTCTATTTGCTTTAAGAGCAGGAGAGCTGATGAACAATAATATTCTAAAATCTCTTCCAAATGAACGTTCCTCACCTCTGGATCACAAATCTGATGGGATGTTGCTGTACCTACTTGACAGTGAACAAACCTTCAGAGATTTCTGCAGACACAGCAGAATGGCTCACAACCTACACCGTCCCCTGCATGCACCCACGTTTGGCAGTATTTTCTGCTCCACTGCTTCAAGGAGCCACGCAGGGCAACTCAAGCACAACACAGTTCTACCTTATTATGCATGGAAAATATCTTCTGTGAGCCAAACTCATTAACCGAGCATTTGTAGCAGCTTTACCCCTGCAGAGAAGAGGCGAGTCATGCAACTCATCCAAACACCTCTCATCAGCTGCTGACCTGTTCCTCTGCAGCTGGCCAACCCCATGGTGAGAAGAACAAGGATGATTCTGTCTCAGCTGGAGCCAAGGACTCTATTTCACTCCAGTACTAAAACTAATATAGTGATAGCTACTTATCAGTCTCGTTAACCTATAGCCTGTGTTGCAGCAGAGAATGGGGAGCTGAAAGACTCCAGTTCAGCTGTGTTTTCAGGGCTTCTGACACCCAAAGAACCCACCACAGGAGTTGAGTCCTATTTGGACCACAGCAGTCAGTCCTTCAGCAGTTTACTACGTCTAGAAAAGACAGAAAATTAACTGTGTTACCCAGAAAGACTATTCCAAGTAATCCTTCTAAGGGGATTTAGCTTAGCCCTACTTGTGTTTGTTAGGATTTCTTTTCTCACTTTTTGAGGTAAAAGCTATGAAAGAGAGCAGTACTCAAGGCTGAGGAAAAGACCTTCCTGAAAGCACGATCCAGGAGGAGCAGGGCACAATCTTGACGTGGGGATCAGTGTTACAATAACCTCACTGCACAGAGCAGCAGGATTATCCTTCTGAACTGAGCTCCTGATAAGCCAAAAGAGGTGGGAGGAATGAAGTAGGAGGCAGCAAAAGGAAGAAATCTAAAACATGCACTGAGGCGGCTTATTTGAATGTAAAGCAGGAATGCTGGGAGAGGCTGCAGGTGATTTTGGTTGTCACTTCACTGTATGAACACAGAGACCACTCATCCTCTGAAAGACTCCGCAGGGCTAAGTTCCAGGGCCACAGGGATTTCAAAAGGTCTGAGAGGTGCTGAGGTTGCCACGTGCACACAGATCAACTGCAAAGCACCTGCAGCGGGCTCACCATCAGACCAGGCAGCCATCAACCATCATCCATACGTGCACAACGAGCCCAGGGAACGTGACTGTAACCAGAACTGCACATGGGGGCAGCTCTACATAGGCCTGATGCGTTCTTCAGGGAGTAAGCTCCTACCAAACTGTCAGCATTTACAAGTGATATCATCTTTTCTTGTAAGGGGAACGGCCATAAAAAAGCCTGTCAGCCTACATGGGAATTAGGTGGGAGCCTTGCTTGCACCTTTCAATTGCTGCCGTAAAAAGTTTTATGCTGCTCAAGAAACCCACTGCTGTTTACTTTGCTTGAAATAAAACACATCTAACACAGGTTCTAATTTCTAGCTATTGATTAATAAAGGAAACAAGCACATTGTGGAGGATTTTTTTTTTTTTTTTAACCTTTTAAGCACGCTGCTTCTCTCACGCCCTTTTACCAGCTTCAGTCTAAACACGATGGACTGCCAAATATTCTTAGAGGCACTCCAGCTGCTCTGCTGTGCTGTGCACAAGAAGCAGGCAGAACCCTCAGCAGGATGCAGCACATCGGCAGCATCGGATCAGAACTGTCAGATAGTTTGCATATGCTGTAATGATTGATATGTATTAGGCAACAGAAATAAAGCACACAATCCAAAGAGGCCGTGGAGTTCATTCATAAAAGAATGGAGACATTTTTTTTTTTTTAAAGGTGTTTGGGAAACTGAGACAGAAATAGGAAAAGATGTTAGCAGCAGTGCAAATAGAGGAAAGTGACCACGTGTCACTCGAAACACGGATTCCTTTGCAGCTGTCATACCTCAGGCTCATTTCACAGGTTAAACACAGGGACAACAGCCATAAAAAACAAAGCACAACAACGCTGGGAAGTATGTGCCCTACAGCAACAAGGAACAGCAATTGCCTAAGAAGGAAGGAAACAAATCTAGCGTAGAGAACTCAGAGGTGAAGCCATAAGTGCTTGGAACCTACAAATGCACATCCGAGATGTTATTTCAACTGTGAAACTCCGCAGTAGGTAACAGGAGCACCCTACTTCTATTGCTGGAAGCTTACAGACTTTAGCCACGCTGGGACGCTGTGCTGCCTACCAAGTAAAGAAAAAAAAAAAGGAAACTTAGGTTCATCCAAACCAAACGGCTCCCATTCTCTCCACACCCCCAACCCGACGTCACCCTACGTGCCACAGAGCCCGGGACGATCCTTTTGGGGCTAAAAAATACGCAACGTGAGCGGTGGAACGAAGCTGGTTTCATTTTCAGCGCGCGAGCGTGGAGAGAAAGGACTGGCGCTGCAGGAAACGCGTTGTTCCGTGCCCTGCCGTCCCCAGCCCAGGGGCCGCCGCTCACAAGGATGCGCTCCCACCGGTACAGACGCGGGGTTTGAGGAGAAAGGACGCCGTTTTGGTGCCGTTCTCCCGCTGGAAGCCCGGCTTTTAGCTGGTGCAGGGAGCGGCCTCCTTCTCTTCTCTTCCCATCCCTTCCCCTCCGCCCGCAGAACGCCGTTCCCCACGGCTGCAGCCCGGCTCGCCCCGCACGGCGCCGCTCACCCTTGTCGTCCTGCACCATGCCGATGGTGCCGCCCGTATTGATGACCAGCACCCGCACCTCGCTGACGGCCTTACAGCCGGGCACATCCTCGCGGTGGGTGCCGGACAAGGCTTTGCCCAGCGAGCCCCGCGCCACCGCCGCCTCCATCCCGACCCGGAGGAACCGCTACCTCCGGCGAAAAGGGGTTTTAGAGGGCGGCCCGGGGGACGCCTCCGTCCCGCCCCCCGCCGGCCGGGCAGGCAGCGGGGTGGGGCCCAGAGAGGCGGGGAGAGCTGCAGCGCCTCCGGAGCGCGCCCGGCTGCGGAGGGCGAGAGAGGCGGGGCGCGGCACGGCCCCTTCGTGCCGCTGGTTCTCCGTCCAGCTCCTCCGAGCGCGGGCGGCGGTGCGGGATCTTCCCCTCGTGCGTCCGGAAAGCGAGGACGGGAAGCCCTGTGCTTACCTGGCTCGTTCCCAGCGTCTGCTCACGCCCTCCGTTTCCGCTTCCTAACGTGGACCCATCGCTTTCATGCAAGTTTTCTCGCAAGAAAGGAATGAAGATCCACCTTCAGGCAGCGCATCAAGCCGCGGGACAAGCAGGAGAGCTGGGGCAGTACCGCCTGCTGACAGCGGGCAGGGTTGGGATGGAATTGTCGCCCTGCAGTAAGATAAAAGCAGTGGAACAAGCAGCACAGCAGAAGGATGCAAAGCCAGATGGATCTCTCAGTTAAATCAAGCATCCCTCTGTACTTCTCTGCCCACAAACTCCTTCATCTGAGCTCATGCCCCTTTGAGGACATTTGCCCTAAAGGACTGCTATCTCCTGCCAATCCGTCACCACACAGTTATCCATGCACACAGTTACAGCTCCTGTTGCTCAGCCCTTCCCAAAGTACTGGGGGAAAACCAGGCTCACGGGCAGCAAAGATGCTTGGCGTGTCAGCGCTGCCCTTCCTTGTTTTCCAGCTGCATCCTTCACCTTGCACAGGAAGACAACGAAGGACAGCACTGCTAACACGCTTTCTGAAACAGATTAACAACCACAAATCTGTCTCAAACTGGAGGGCTGAAAGCAGGGATAGCAGACATCTGGTTCAACAGCTAAGGGCCATTTGAGCATGCACCTAGAAGTATGACTATGAGTCAATCATCTTACTCCATAAATAGTGAGCAGCCCAACAGCCGGTCCCCTTGAGCTCTCCTACATGGCCACAGCTGCACGATGGGATCTGCCCTCAAGTATGGACACATTCTGAGGTTACACCTGCACAGAGATCCACGACACCTCGATGTCAAGACACCTTGCTGATACAGATCCTCAGTAAGTGACTAATTGTTTTAGGTTTTGTAAGCTTTGCTAATATTGTATCTTCGTGCACATATGATTCCTTAGATACAAACTGTTGATCGAGTCTGGGACTAGGAGCAGATCCAGCCACACCTCTGTGGTTTAAGAGGCTTAGAAAGCAATGGGGTCCACTCTAACTCTCATGACTCAATGGGACAGTCTCTTCTATGTGTGTGTTTAACCCTACCTGCGATGCAGTAAATCATTGGGTGTATCCAGCCATCTGGTTGGTCAAATCTGATTAATCACAGTTAAATCACTACATTATATTGTATCAATAAATATACTCCTGCTTTTCTCTTCTGAGTGAAGCATATAGTGTGGTTGTTTCCATACATGCAACCAAGTGCTGTAATTTGTAATAAATATCGTAACAGTGAAATATTGGTGAACTGCCAATATAGGGATCATAAAATTGGTTTCCACCCTATTTTGCATTATAGACTTGAGTTTCAGCTTACACATCACCTGTGACCAACAGCAGGCTAGGTGTTTCTCAAATTCTCCTAAAATTTCCTGTAACAGTCCTCTTAAGCTTCCAGACAGACAAGCCCCTCTTCATCTCTGAAGTAGAAGCATTATGCCTCAAAGCTAAATACAAGTTGAAGACAATTTTTTTTAAGGTTTAGTGACTAGGTAAAAATAGTTGACATCTGCACTAGAAAGCAATTTTACAGGTAAAGGAGCTAGGGAGGAATGATTTACATGATCTGCAGTTCCACAGATCTGACATCCTTGTCTGCGCACCTCACTGACACAGGTAAGATGCCTCTTTCAGATACTCACTGTCTTTATCCTTAGAAATCAGTAATATGGTTGAAAATTTCACTGCATAGTTCTGTCTCCTGAAGTATAAGCATTCACAGAATTATTAGGTTGAAGGAGACCACTAAGATCAAACAGTCCAACCATCAACCCATCCCCACCGAGTCCACCAGCCACGTCTCTCAGTGCCATTCCCTGCATTTGAGATTTTCATTTTTAAAAACCAAACGGAGCAGCATATGTCAGAAGAGCAATCTATTGGATTGACATCTTCACTTTACAGAAGTGGGTGGAGAAGGAGCTTAAATGCTCTTTGAATTACTTCTGTTGTTCAAAGTTGACTTAGTATGAAATGATTCACCTAAAATGCAACTGCAGTAGTGCAGTATTACATCGGAGGCAAGTACAGGCACAATGCCATGCCTGTGCTACAGCTAGAATAAAATTAATGTATTCAGTATGTATCTTTGCTTTCCCTTCAAAAAGTTGTCCCTGGCATCCATGAAATCTTTTGGGTTGCTTGTCCCTCACCCAATGTCCTCCCTCACAGCTGTTGGGGTGGAGGAAGTCCCTCAGGAGAACCAGTCTATGATGAAGGCAACTTCTCACTTTGTGAGGGAGCTTCACCCCGTCCTGCCCTTCAGTGGCCTTTTTGCCTGCTGCTACTGATCATGGTGATGTCACCCAACAGTCAGTGATGTTGACTAGAAGCCTTGAGACAGATCCTTGCTGTGCAATCATGTCAGCCCTTTGCACAGAACAAGCCAGGCACAGCCCTCATCTCCCTTGTCACCATGAAAAAGCCTGTATCTATGCATTACATATAAAACTACAACTGTATACTAGCTGCATGCACCTGATAATCACTTTTTATTTTGTACTGAACCATTAAGAATGATATTCATGGATCTAAAGTAAATTGAAATCTAGCACAAGAATGAATCATTGCATAAACGGATGGATGGAGGGGTGACCAGGTACCAGCTCCATAGAAACAATCTAAAGAATATACAGGAATAACACCAACTTAAATAAAAGATTTTGACAATAGAAAAACAGTTATGGAGCACAAAGAGTTGCAAGAGATATATTTCCCTGAAATGATGTCATAAATAACAGAACATTATCTCACAGGGGAGGCAATACAACCTTAAGCTGTCCATTCCAAGATGGGTTTATTCTAACACTTCCTATAGCTCAACAAAAGCTCCCAGATGGTCTTAAGAGTGTAAACCTGGAAGATCAAAAAGTCTCCCTGGAAATTTAATAGGAAAGACTACATTTTAAATAATATTCTTGTAAGCAGAAAGCAACAATGGCCTTGAATGACTTAACAGACTTAAGATCCAAAGCTGTGAGGAGCGTGAAGCAGGGAGTTTTGGAATCAGAAAAGCACAGTGGTATTTAATATTACGTAGGTATAGCATCCAATATATCAGAAGGAGTACAGTGACACTCACTAGCTGGAAGGAGATCCTGCCATCGCAGCTGGTTTGCTCCAGCAGTCATGTACCAGCCCTGCAATCTGTCAACATGACCTTTAGCTCTGAGGTTGGGAAAAGAAAGGAAAAAAAATATACATATATCAGCCCAGTGACGCAATGTCCTGCTAGTTAGCATTGTCACAGTTGTTCTGAACATTGTGAATCAAACAGGATTAGGAAGTCTGCCAAGTGAGTCTAAGTGGGAGCTGAGGAAAAATACAACAAAAACACACACCAAAAAACTTCAAACTGTGAACAGACAGCAAAGAATGCTGCTACACAAGGTAGTACTTAACAGGCTTTCAGGACAGTTTTCCTTTCTAAAAAATAATTTTAAGTGAAGACCTCACATATTTCAGTTACTTCTTTCTGATAAGTAACAGTACAACGATTTACTGCACAAACTGTACAGGTTTTTACCTTTACAATATGGATATTCTCACATATTATTACCCCCTGCTAAAACATCTATACAAGCACACATTATAATGCCCTGTGAGATATATCAATGTTATCACCATTCTAAGCTGAAGAAACTGAGGCACAGAGTTGGGTAAATACTCTGGAGTTAAGCTCTCAGCATTTGGACTGGGTGGGCAGTCCCTTACCCAACAACAACACTATTCATAGGATAATACATGCAAAGTAGGAGAAAAAAAATAGATTACCTTTGGATATGAAACTAAAAATTTTCTTTCAACTGAGAGTTTAATGATCTTTTTTCTTAACTTGATGATAAGCTTCTGTTATATCAGATGATTAAAATGTGACTCAGCCAAAAAGGCTGTTTTTGTTAGAGAATCTTTTCAACTGCTCTAGAACCCCACACCTTATTTGAAACTACCAGACCTGCAGTGGGTAACACCAGGGCTCACCACCTTACTCTGGTTTTTAGAGATGAGATTGACCCGTGAACAAGCTGAAACTGGAACCTATATCCTGTAAATCAGTTCTTTGCACTGCAGTCTCGTAAAGGAAAAAAACAAACAAACCCTCATTCTCCTTTCTACAGTTTAACTGGACTGCATTCCTCAGTGGAGTAGCACCATATCAGCCTGACGTAAACTGCTGCACTTGGCTGTGAGACTTCTGACCTGTAACCACAGGATATTCAACAAATAGTAGTAATACAAAGAACACACAGGCTTCATCAATGAAAGAAGTACTCAAGCACGTTTTGTACCATTCACTATATACAATGCTGCATTTAATATAGGATTATACTCTTATATTCAAATGAGGCAAAAAAAAGCTCTTAAGGAGGAATTTGGTGATCTCTTCTGATTATTCAGCAATCACTGGATTGAAGCAGTGTGATACACAAACAGATTTCTCTAGAAAAGTCAATCTCCACACATGGGGCTTTGAGCAATCAATAGAGGGAGGTGTTCCTGCCTATAGCAGGGGGTTGGAACTAGATGATCTTAAAGGTCCCTTTCAACCCAAACCATTCTATGATTCTATTACTCTTCTTTGGACCGCAGACAAGATTATTCTTTTCCATGAGTTAAGTACATAGGAGGGCTTGGACCTTATGGAAATCTTGTTTGTGAATGGTTGATTCACTATGCTATAAATATTCCCTTTTCCCCTTTCATTGGCACTCTCATCCCTCCTCAGCCATGAGCCTTGTAACCACATTAGTTCAAGAGGACATTTACAAGCCTGCAGGGTACACGTCAATCTGATGATCCTCATTCCTCCACAAGAAAGAAATGGTCACACGATGGAATACAGGGTACTGTATGGCTGCAATGACCACCAATGATACAAAGCATAACAACCAGCCATGGACAGTCTAAAGCAGCACTTAAATGACTCAGTAAGAAGTTTCTGGGTTTGAGTTTGCAACATATACAAGAACTCAACAGCATCATCTAGCAGCAGGCTGCACGTGCTGGCAAGGCTGTATATAGATGCAGTCAACGTTACATCCATGGTTTGACTGATGGACTAAAACACAACTAGAATAAAGCAAACAAGATACAAGAGTACCATACGGCATGAGTCAGAGGCCTCGTGATAACAGAACCCCAGAGGCTGCCGGCAGGATAAACTACTGACTTTTCTTTTTTTCAAGGCTTTAGAAAAACAGAGTAATATTAAAAAATCATTCAGGCATACAACCAGTAGAAGTGAACAAGTGCCAGAGTGAGTTCATAAGGCACATGCCCGTGATCAGCCCACTGAGGATGTGGAACGTGCTGTAACGGGTAGACTGCTTTGTTGGCAGTTTGTTCTTTAACAACTAGCAGGGTTTTTGGGTGGCTGGAGCTCTTAAAAGCAACATAATGTTTAATTGCAACTGTTAGGGTGTTTACTGCACTCCTCAGTTGGAGCTTGTAGGGGTTTATCTGTTTGTTTAAACCATTACTTGGTTTAACCACCAGGCACTGACAATTCAGAACTACATAATGAACCAGACTGCTTGCCAGTGGCCACCCACGTCCTTCCACTTGATAACCTGGGGCGCTGGACCACAAGGCCCAGATTCCTGTGCAATGTCCCACCTCTGCATGAATCAAGGGAATTCACAGCTCTTTTCCTGACACAGAAAGACAGAAAGCCACGCTGCAGCTGCTCCTTTATAACAGACACTCTCTGCACGTTTCCCTTAGCTTCTAACTTTCTTTTTAACTACTAAAGAACAGAATGATGTCAATAGTAGTTCTTCTGTAAATGCCTCCTTTAGCCTCAAGGTTCCTTTTGATTCCATTTCCATAAATCACTAATCCACAAAAACAAAGTACACAGCACTCTCAGCACTAAATAAAAGTCAGTAAGAACTGAAGAGTGTGCCCAGCACCTCAGGATACTTAACAGTTTTAGCCAATCCTCCCCTGTCCTGTTAGATGAATTAAGCAGTGGTGTGTACTCTATGACTTTAGTAAATCTTCTTACAGCTAGAGTAATTAAAGAATGAAAAAATAGCATAACCGTAGTCTATAGTCCTTTTTTCTCCAATTTACCATAGGTGTTGTAACTCTAAGTCAGTCTCTGTACGTTTCAGAACTGTTTGCAGCAGCTTTTTATTTCCTTCAGACAAGAGCTACTGCAAATTTTATTAAACTAGAGGTTGAAATGTTTCAAAACTGAAAAAAACTTACCAAAGATAGCCAGCTAAATTTGACTGCACATCAATACTTATAAGGCATGAGATAAATTAAGAAAAAAAGCTAGAGAGTCTGAATACCTGGATTTACAGTTCTCAAGCAATCGTAACAGTCAATATTGATGTAGCAGAAACAAATAAAAAAAACCATCTCAGTTCAAACAAACTGAAACGCCAAAGTTTGAAATTGGGCAGCAATAAAGACAAAAGCTTGCATTTTAATATTAAAATAATCATCACATCATCATCAGTGTCATCAGCTCCAGAAGCACAGTTTTGTGTAGAACTTGCTATCTTGAATACATGTATTGATAGTTGTTTGAGAAGTCCTTTATGTTCCAGCTCATCTAATACATTTACAACACAGTACAACAGAACATTCATTTCTAAAATCATTTTGTGATCATTTGTATACTTTTGTTGAAAGCGTCCACTTAGCAAAAGTGTAAAAATCTGTTACTTACAGGAGCGCTGCTGCGTTTATAGAAGCTCACAAGTACCAGGCTTTCCTCTGTACACTTCTCCATCCTGTAGCACTGCCATTGAATTGCACAAGTGTGACTATCAGCTACTGTATGAATATACTAGCTTCAGTAACTGTTCTAGTTATTAAGTATTAATTGGTATTAATTCTTAGTCATCATTAAGACTATCAGAAGCAATCACATTTTTTTCCTAGTGTATCCTCAACCTTCTTAACTTCTATTGCACAAATAAAATCCAAGGAACACCTATTTCCTAAAGAACAGGTGAAATAGATTTAAAGTAGGTCTCTTCAATATCCATCTTAACTGGTGAGTGGGCAGGAAAACTTGGTCTGGACAGCAATCATTGTCAAATTTAAACTCAGAGATCTATGGTTTTAACTAGAGAAAGCAAAGCAACTCTCTACAGCCGTGTGTGTGTCTGTTTGTCTGACTAAACACTGCTGACAGGTGCATCTTTCCTTTTTTAAACACAGGTGTTCAAGGAGAAAGTCACCCCTGGGTCCTTTATTCTGTCTTTGGGGGAAAAAAAGAAGTGAGGTAAGACTTAAAAATCCTTTGTGGAAAGAACAAACAGTAGAGAAGAAGAAACCCATCACAATGATTTGTGCAGCACTTGGGGCAAGGAGACTCGAGACAAGTTTCATAAGAACTGCGTGAAAAAGTGCTTTGCAGGAGAAAGCAGTCATTGTTCTTTTTGGAGGGTACGAGAAAACAGCTACCAGTGTTTGAAGCACAATGGCCCTCTTTCCTTACAGGAAGAAAACTCCAAGTAAAACTACGCTTTGGTGGCAATGCTGTTTTGAGTTCTGATCCTTTCTATGCACTAAGGTAGACAGAAGAAAAAAAACATTGTACCTATTACACTTTGAAATGGTGCTGTTAATTATTTCCAAAGTCAGTGTAACTCATCAAGCCTATGTTAATGCTTGTATCTTGGCCCAAACTGTAATTCTAACATGAATCCCCATTTGCATGGCTTTTTTTGCTGATATCTGTATGTAGAGTGGAGTTTCATTCAAATCTGTTTTAAGGAGCATGGCAAGTGTACACAGCCCTCAGCATGGCGTGTTGCTTCTGTTTTAAAGATACACAGGACAATGCGGCCCAAAGAACAGACTGCCTTGTTTACACTGCAAACATTCCAGAAGTCTCAAGGACCAGAGCTACAGTTCTAATTTTATCTTCATTTAAGTGAATGCTATTACTTCCACAATAAAATTACAAAAACTGAAAAGGCCTGAACAGTCTCACTACTGGTTGTGCATGACTGTGTTTTTTTCCCCCTCAAGATCAAATAAATTATCCACAAATCTCAGAAGTTTGACCCTCAGTTATAAGCAACAACATCTGTGCTGTCTCTCCACAATTCTTTGCCCTGAGAAAATCATCTCCATGGCTGTGTGAACAGTTGACAAAAGGGAAGGTAATTCACTGGGGGCCGTGTGAATGTCCAGATTTGTTGCTTATTTTTAATAATTACATAATTTTCTCCTTCACTTTGTAAAAGCGTTCATATCTTGAAATAACCATAAAGCAAGTGCTTACAAGTACTATAATGAACCAACTTAGGAATCAGAGATTACGTTTCTCTGGCCTTTCAGCAATTCTTGTATACTTGGAATAACAGCTGCTATAGTTACAGAACAGCTATTATAAGAGTTAAAAGCCAAAAAAAAAAAAGCAAAAAACCCAGCCAAACAAAACCAGTTCACTTAAGTTACTCAGACAGATTATGGGTTACTGGACTGGGCAGAAGGGGACATAGCTACTCCATTACTCTTAAGGACAAGAGCAGAAACCTCTCTTTTTTCTTTTTTTTTCTTTTTCTTTTTTTTTTTTTTTTAAGGACACGAGCCATTACCTCTTTGCTGTAGGCATTACATCACACAAGTGGAAGTTCAAAGGGCAACAAAAAGCACACGAATAATGCCAGCAGATGGCAGCACGTGCACACAAACTCACCACGACAAGACACAATCAATGAATTAAAAACAAAGTCAGAATATGACAGATACACACTGTTCCTCTGTCAACTCTTAAATTCAGTGTTACTTATGAAGAATCCTAAGAAATCACACTACTTATACCATCCATGTTGGTATTGCAACGTTGCATTTTCCTACAGAGCTTCCCACCATTAACCAGGCAGAGCAAAGATTGGACATTGCTCATTTCATTTGCCCCCAGGTGCTCAATTGCAACACACTGATTTTGGATACAACACTGTTGAGAAATGCCATCTAAAGCACTTAATTTCTTCATATTAAACTCATCACAATACAAAGTGTAATGTCTTGTAATTCACTAGTATTACTACAATGGATGAGGAAGGAATGCTCATAAGCAGCTACTGAAATGGTTCAATATACAGCTGCCTCTCTTGACTTCACCTGCAGCTTAAAATAATTACTTAGTTTAAGCATTGGGGATTGAAACTGGAAGATCTTTGAGGTCCTTTTCAACCCAGGCCTTCTATGATTCTATCATTCTATGACCCTATGATTCATCACCTCACACTCCCCAAATCTGCTTGCCTTTTATTTAGAACAGAGATGACCACTGATGATGTCCGTTTTTCAGAAGACAGCTGGATTTCAACTATCCTCAAATCACTGAGTTAAGACTGAAAAGATGAATATTCTCTCCAACACTGCTTTTGTATTAATGTATTTCGTGAATGCAATCACACAGCATTAGTAACTAAATTTAGTTTTTATTAAGCACGACTGCACAACAGAACAGATAAACCCATTTTATTTCACTTCTACGTTTTATTCTGAAACCACTGACCTCATTTTTAGAGCTAAAGATCTCACGAAAAGTAATAATAATAATCAGTAATTCAAAGGCATTCTTCTGCCACAAAGGAAAAGGAACCATGCATTATGTTTTGTTGTAAAAAAATAATGAAAGATTGCACGTAACATATAAAGTTATACTTTTGATTGGAATACAACCTAAATATTCAGCTTCCTTTGATCTCAAGCTTTTAGTTTAAAAAAAAAAATAAAGTAATGACAAAAAGAATAAGAAAATGCAACTTTGAACTGCAAGACTGAATCATAACCCATGGCCATGAGCTTTCAGACAGAAAATGAACAATTAAAGCTAACTTATTTTGTCTTTCACATGCATTGTGATAAACCAGTTCAGAATTATTATTAAACAGAAAATTGTATACTGCTCTATGAAATAAGTGTATCTGCTTGAAGTCACTATACTTCTGCTTTTAAAATACAAATATGCCAAACTATGTTTTGATCCATCAATCTTAAAGAACAATCCTGTGAAACAAACATCTAACAGTTCTATATAGAAGACAGAACATTTCTAAACTGGCTGTATTATTTCTTCCTCTGAAAGACTTCAGCAATACTTAAACATTCAACATAACAAGCTGATGCAGCTGATAAAGACCGCTTCCTCTTTTATGCTTCTTTTCAGATTGGTCAATAATATAATGTGAATCCACCTAATCAAAAGAAATATATAAGTTAGAATTCAGTCTTATAAATGCTCTCCTATGAAACAGTTAAATAAAATATATTCTTGTTTCACTTCTGAAAAGTTTTGACTGTTTCAAATCATACAGGCATTTCAACATGCTACACATTTCAGCATAAGAGCTATTATTATGAAATAAATGAAAATACCATTCCATAACCAATTCCAAGGCATTATAGGTAGTATTTTATGTAATGACAATGTTCTGAGATGCACACTTGAGATGCAATGGGGAAAACCCTGATATAAGGTTTATACATTAACTAGTTATAAAAAGCTAAACATTAACATCGCCGAGAGTAGATTATCTTGGCAATACAACAAGGAAAAATGAGTTTGAGATATAAAAACAAAAATAGTTTGGCGTAAAACACAACATCAAGACAGACTCCAACCCCTCACAGGATGCATACTAGAAACGTGACAACAGTGGACAAGCACCATGGGCCCACTCTTTTCAAAGAAACCTCTACCTCTCATTTACATGCGTTGGGTTGTAGGAGGGATTGGGAGGGTGCATATGGAAATCTTACTCCTTCACTCAGCAATTCATCACTTTCTTCTAGGTAAGAAAATGCAGCTATTTATTATGGCATCCACACAGGGAATCTAGCAGCCTGCAGATGCCTTTTTAGAAAAGTAAGAAAGATTTCTAATAGAGTAGGAAGCTATACTTTCCAGTTGGAACCCTCCCAGATTTTGAGGAAACTACCTTCTGATCCCATCACTCCAATTTCAAAACAAGCCACATTTCTGTCAGCTTAAGAGGGAAAAATCACCTGGAATCCAAAACAAAACTAAAATGCACTGTATCCAGTAAGCCTTAAACAAGAAAAATGAAGAAAAAAAATGTAATGCTACTCGATAGAAAGAAAAAAAATTCAAACATTCAAAGGTAAAGCTGCCCCTACAATCTCAGCTGAGCTATAACATGAAGTATTCTGACTGGATCTTTATATACATAAAGCTATTTTTTTTTTAACTGATTTTACAAAACTATGGTATCAGCAGATGATGCAAACACAACAATTGTGGATGCCTGAAATTTGATTCTGCAGTGCTTTCTGTATCTTTAAGTTCAATGCATTTTTTTCCCCTCAGCATCAAGAGACATCTTTCCAAAGAAAATACTACTTTTGATCACTCAACTGAACATGCTGGGATACCATGTTCCTCTTCATATTTTTTATTACTTTCTTTTTTAAGTTACATTTCTACACTCACTTGATTCCATGCATATGGCTTCTCATACCACTTAGGAACAACTCCAGCTCTTGGTTTGCAGATCAAACTGAAATTACATAAAAATAACCTTGAGAAATATATTTGCATTGGACTAATTAAAAATACAGAAATGTTTATAGCAGGTACAACTGGGTATCTGTAAGATGTCCATGTTGAAAGGAATCTTAATTTATGTGTTATTATGCATACAGTCTAATTAATTCACTTACCTGGACTTTGCCCCTTTAGTTGAAGTCAAAAGATAAACAGTATCTGCAGTTGCTTGTTTGCTCTCTGTTGGTTGCTTTTTCTTTTTCTTTTTTTTTTTTTTTGAAGTAATTATTTTTTAAATTGACAGAGAACTACAGTTTGCAACTGTCATTTCATCTGTAAATTTTATGCATGCTTATTCACTAGAACATATAATAAAGTTATTTTTAGGGCATTTTGTTTTGCATGACAACTCAATTACTACAGATCGTCTGCCTACTCCAGTTATTTCCTCAAGCCGTGCAAACTACAACAGTAGCAGACTTTAATTCTGTCTAGATGTGTTTTTCAAACACACATTTTAGTCTTAAGTAGTGCTGACATGCTGTATACATAATTAGCTTTCAAAAAAAAGGAAAAGATAATGAAAGATTACTGAAGCTGTATTTTTACATATTTACTTTTACTAATAAAAGTTTTTTTTCCCCCCTGAGGTATTAAAGTGAGATTACAAAGTATTCGTAATTCAGACAGTCTTTTAACATATGAAAGAGACATGACAACAACCAGATTGTTTCTTCCTTCTAGAAGACAGAAAGATGCATTACATTAGAAAGTTTGAAAAAAATAATCCAGAATAAAATCAACAATTATTTGTCTTCCTGATAGTTTGACACCTCCCCATCCTGCAGAATCCTGCCATAAGCTTCCCCACCCCAACTTCAGCTGTCTGTGCCCCAAGGTCACAGGACGGCTACATAACCTTGGTTCAGCCAAGAAAGAGTGGTGAAAAATTTGCAAACAAGTAGAAAAATTAATAGTAGGATCATGGGACAGCATTAGTAGCAGCACAAGGATTTCAAGAGGTAAAAAACAGCAGTGACATTTTAATGCTCTGAACTTAACATCTGAGAGTTTTTTTTCCAAGTATAACCTCTCCTCCTACTGCCACAAACAAACAAACGGGCACCTTCAGAGGGGTTTTGTGTTTCTGCTTCCTTCTGCCCCTCTACTTCCCTAAAGTTATTACCACATGAATCACGTGAGCAAGCTTCACTTAGATTTGAAGACTAAACATGGTACTAAGATGGGTGTCCAAAGGCAACACGGACACCAACTGGCCTAAGGTACTTGGACACAAACAAGAAATGAAACATTGCATCAGCAATGCACTCAACAGCTGGTACTTTACCAGGAATTCTACCGACATGAAATGCCAACACGTTGGCAATTTGCACCAGTGCTTCTAAATGCATCTAAGGTACAGCCTTTATGAAGCTGTACCAATCACCAACAGCTGGCTTGAAGCTGCCATGTCTCTGTGCAACAAGAGCAGCTGGCACATCTTCAAGACAGCAGCATGCATGGCATAGCATCCAAAATAACTACCTTGCCTGATCCAACACACCTGCTGGTCAGCTGACATTTGTTAGGTATCCCCACATCTGGGGATTTTCTATGGCTTTTTAATTGCATTTCATTCCCACTGCTTAAAAGGTAAGGCTGACTGCCCCTACATTTGCACATTGACTATACAATGATATATTTAACTTCCTTTCAAGTATTGAAAATTAAAGTACATTGCATTTAGTCTTGTCACAGAGGGAAGAAAAACTGAACAGTTGTATTCAAAACCAAGAAATACCCAAAAACTCAGCATGAACAGCTTTTCTGATAATAATTTTCATAACCTAAGATATTAGCAGTTAAGCTTAAAAGCTTCTGATCCACAACAGTATGAGAAATTGCCTCATTTTGGCTGTTACTTTAAAAAAGCTTATTGTAGAAAAATGTCCCATTTACTAGAGATGAGAGCAATACTAGACAGCATAATAACACATAGATGAAAAACTTAACATGAGCCAGCAGTGTGCTCTTGCAGCTCAGAAAGCAAATGGTACCCTGGGCTCCATCAGAAGAGGGGTAGCCAGCAGGGGCAGGGAGGTGATTGTCCCTCTCTACTCTGCTCTTGTGAGGCCCCATCTGGAGTACTATGTCCAGGTCTGGAGCTCCCCAGTGCAAGAAAGACAGGGAGCTGTTGGAGAGGGTCCAGAGGAGAGCCACAAAGATCAAGGGGCTGGAGCACCTCCCTACAAAGACAAGCTTGTTCAGCCTGGAGAAAAGAAGGCTGCAGGGTGACCTCATTGCAGCCTTTCAGTACCTAAAGGGAGCCCACAAACAGGAGGGGAATCAACTCTTTGAAAGGGTAGATAGCAGCAGGACAAGGAGAAATGGTTTTAAGTTGAGGGAGGGAAGATTTAGGCTGGATGTCAAGGGGAAGTTCTTACAGAGAGAATGGCGAGGTGCTGGAACAGGCTGCCCAGAGAGGTTGTGGATGCCCCATCCATCCCTAGAGGTGTACAAGACCAGACTGGATGGAGCCCTGGGAAACTTGGTCTAGTATTAAATGGGGAAGTTGGCAGCTCTGCATGTGGCAGGGGAGTTGGAGATTCATGATCCTTGATATCTCTTCCAACCCTGGCCATTCTGTGATAACATAGAAGGAGCTGCTACAGGGACACCTAATTGACCAGGCTAGCCTGAACACCTGCCACATGCCACAAGCTGGAAGAATTCTCAAGACTGGCTGCACTGACTCAGTGTTCCGTTATAGAAGCTGGGAGGTCTGCTGAGAAAGACAGGCGGTCTTAAGGTCAGTAATTTAGGATTTCCAGCAACTAAGCTGGTCAGCACCTCTCCTGATGATGCCTGTTTAGAGAGGAAAAGCACACAAAACTCGAAATTAATTTAGAGGCAGAAAATTTTAAGTCCTTCTGTGCTTTCATGCCACAGGTCTGAGTACAGAAAAGTACAGATGCCACAGAACTGGTATTTTGTAGAACAGGTTTTAAGCTTCCTTGAAGAACCAGTACATCCACAAGCAGTCTAAAGTTGCACACTGCTTTTTAAACCAAGCAAATTAAACATTACTAAATGAAAACATCCTATATTATCATTTCCCCAAAGCCTAATCTGAGCTATGTTTTCGAGGTATGCTTCAAGCAATCATTTACTTTTCTTTTTTAACCGAGACAGCAAAACACATGTTCTTATTTCTACCAAATGATTACCGTAGAAGTAACTGACGAACACTTTCCTGCAGCTGTGGCATCTTCTCTTTTCCAGAGCACACTGCACATTCAAAGAGCAGCTTATTAATGGCTGCCCTTAGGATGTTGATCTGTAACAACAACAGTGACAGAATATAAAAGTAAAATATATTTAAAAAATACAACTCTAGAACTACAAACCAGCTTGGGTTTAAAAGGGACCTCAAAGATTACCCAGTTCCAATCCCCCATGGATGTCAGAGTTGCCAACCAGGCATCTAAATCAGTCCTAGTTCTGTGTTGCACTACATCAACACGTATGAAAGGTGGTTGCGGCACTCATAAAACTGAATTGCTATTGGAATATTAATATATGCAAAAGCATCTGAAGCTTTGAAACACTTCTTCCTCCAGATGCACCACTTCCGGTAGAAGAGGTGAATGCTCCAGACACTTGAGTTCATCTCCAAGATTAATCAGATACACTTCAGAAGATACAAGCTACCAACACAGAATTCCTTCTAAAACATTTTAAGGATTTTCTGTCCATAATTTTTACACACACAAGAGCCCGGTGCTACTATTACAGCTAAGGCATAATGCATACAGATATTAGACAGATAAATGCTTTCAAAAGAGAAAAGTTCACTGTATCTGTACACCAACATGACCCACTATCTCCTTAAAAAAGCCTCTCGAATGCACTGGTAACCTACCATACCTACTCTGAACATAGAAATGTTCAAGGCATGTGAGGTCTTTCACTGTCTAGAATCAGATTCCCAGAACAGATCAATCAAACCATAAGCAGCCTTGTACTTCTCATCAGAACATTTCTGCAATTTGTAGACTGATCTGTCAGAAGGACATGTGCACAGACATGGTCTTGGACAGCAGAGTAAACTGTATTTAACTTGTCCACAAGGGTTTTTATTGTTTGACTGATTTGTTCTGGAAGAAGGGGCTTGATACAGTTGATCTCTAAGAACTGTAAAATTAAACTGAAGACTGGAAAGCAAAAATACTACACTGATCAGTAAAATAACAACCAATAGTAATTCTAAAAAAAAAACCAAAACAACAAAAAAAGACAATCAAGTACTGATAATTTATTAGTGAAAAAATCAGTGCTTTTGTTTTGAGAAGTTTACAGAGTATTAGACTAAAATATTTGATTTTACTCATCAAAATGTATGGGCAGTCATCTGTCTGACAGAAGTCCAAGGTTCTGAACAGGTAGTACACATTTTATATAAAAAAAATAATAGTAATAATAAAGTTTCAATTGTTTCAAAGGCTGCTAGGATGCCAGCTAGTAGAACATTTAACAAGTTGCGATGCTCTAAATTCTACTTATGTAATAATTTACAATAGTAAGGTACAAATTTTTACCTCCAATATGTCATCTACATCAAAATGCACATCAAATGTCAGCTCCATGTCATTTTCTGGAAGCAGCGGAGCCCTACAAGTCTGACTCCAACCCAAACCACACAGAGCACCAGTAAAACACTTGCAAGCTTTATCAACCCTGTACAAACAAAGAAAACAGTCTCACCTACAGATTAGGAAACTAAACTCACATGAATACAGACTCAAATGAATTTGACTAAGCCATGTCAAGCAAGATACAGCAGTCTTAAGAAGTGAAAACAATTGTTACATGTTCATACTTTGTCAAAATGTTTTTTTTTGGTTTTTTTTTTTTTAATATGACAATGAAACAAAGCTGAACTTCAAGTTATGTAAGCAATTAAAATTTGCGAGAAAAATCACGTGTGCAAAAAGGAATTTAAATCAAGGAAAGCTGATTTCCCTGTGTTGAAGTGACAGCTTACAGATATGAGAACTTAAAAGTAATCCAGCTGCCAGAACTCAGATTTTACAAAACTCATGCATGTTTCTCTCCTCACATAGTTAAAAACCTACCCAGTTCTACAGTTCACCTTCCTAGACTTACAGCATGATTGTCAAGAACTGTATTATTTCAATATAAGAAAAAAGCCTGCAGTGCCACTATGTAAGCGAACAAAATAAATTATCTCAGCAAATACTACACTAAATACACTAAAGCTAAAAGATTATACAAAAGCTGTATAAAAACATAGGAAGATGCATACTAACTGCTGGAAAGAAAGCAAAGAAGTCTGACATTTATGAGTGTCTTAAACTAAATAAAGAGACTTTAAAAACACGTGAATACCTAAGTTCTATGGCAGGAGCAAACAGCATACTAAGGAGAGCAAGTAGGCCAGGAATTGGAGGCATCAAAGATGTTTCCTCTAAAAACATGGTAGATCCTATAAGCACACATAAAAAATGTGAAGAGTACATAATGAAGATGCTAACCTCAAGATGATGTAATATACAACTACAGTATCATGTTTACTCAGAGCTATTCACATAAAAACAAGTCTTGAAAAAACTGCCAAAACATTCGTATTAAGCATTACCATTTTCATTTAACGATAAAAACGCAGCAACCAGAAATTGCTCAAAGGAGTGTTCTGGAGCATCTTGGACAACAACGGAGTTTATGCTTCCCTTTCGCACAACAGCATTTCTGGAAAGGAAATAAGAAGTGTTTTCAACATAGAAACAACAACAAAAAACATCAGAAAAAGCATACAAACAAGAAAATTAGGATCCTTTTCATTTCAGAGCTCAACCTGAACAGAGAGCAAAATCTCAATTAGCAGCTGTATATGACTTAAATAATTTCTCTGTAAGACACTAAAACATTCTTAAATAGAACTATTCTTCCAAAAATTTTTACACAGCAACAGCATGCATTTATGTGCAATTCATCCACTACCACTGCCAATGGTCAAAGGTCTTGTAAAATTTTGTAAAATTAACTAGGATGAGTTTTACCAGTTTATGAAAAGTAACAGTCAAGAAGTCTGTACCTTCACAATAAAAGTGTTATCATACCTGAACTGGGATACCCGGGTCATACCATGGCATTTCACCTCATAAGGACTGAACGGGCCACTAACTGTCACCTTTGAAAAGACAAGGAATGTCACTAGTTAGCCAGCATATGTTTCTCTCCTAAAAATATTTATAAGTGAAAAAGCAAAAGGTTTAAAGATCTTGTGCAAACACTGAGCAACACTGAACTGATAGACAGGCAACACTTTAATCACCATCCATCTAATGCAAACTTATCACACTGAGACATCTTAACAAACGTAATGTTATTTTCCACAAGTGCTGGGAATCCATAGCTTCCACAGGCTTAAAAAGCTAGAGTTAAGTCATTGTAGAGCATCTAGCAAAACTAGATTTCTGTTTACATGAGGTCTTTAAATTTGAAAATACTACACTTCAGGAAACAAAGCAATTCAGCAGGATTGCTCCTCTGGGCAACCTGAGCATGATTAGGAGCCCAAAAGCCTAAATTTTGTCAGGTTTGAAATAGGAAGAATTATAATGTAAACCAGGCATAATTTGGAATAAGAATACAGAAAGGGACAGAAATCTTATAGTTATGTATTCCAGCTTAGTAGCGAGTAGAAGTCTCAAATTACTTAAGTAGAAGAGAGTGCTGAGTTTGGAGTTGGCAGTTGAAGAAACACTTGCTGTGTCACTATTATTATGTGCCATGATGTTCTCTGAACTACTTTTCTATCACCTAGCTAAGGAAGAACCACTTTTTTTGGTTTCTCCCCCCTGCCCCCCAAAGTAATTTCCTGAAAAACTGAGCTACAGTTTTGCTTTTTGCTGACACACATATTACAAAGATGACTGTGCTGAAACACAGTGTTCAGCTTCTCAATTTTACCCTCATTTTGCAGTGGCTGGAAGTACTGCCTGGGAATGTGATGGTACAGCTGGTTCAATTAGCTCTTAAGCTATAATTCAAAACTTTGTTAGAAGCTGCAGTAGATTAGTTCACAGCAGTGCTGCCATTACAGCTCTCTATTCACAGAACGTACCATGTACAGCATCAACATGGTATGGTTACGTAAGGTAATTTCAGTCTACTGTTTGAATAATATGAGAATAAGGACATGTAATGCCATACCAGCACTGCTCACATTACCTTATGGGTTGGTGCATCAGATTTGTTGTCAGAAAACCACTTTAATAACCTTTCAATGAGATCCTTTTCTTTCTCTCTTGAAGAAGTAGATGTTTTCTCTTTTTCCTCTACTCCATTAAAAAAAAATCCTTTCAGCAAATCATGGCTTTGCTACATAAAAATGGAATAGAATTAAAACCATGGAACACTATGTTTCTCATAAATTTTACACAGGATCATCCACTAAAGGAACAAAAACATGCGGACAAAAAAAATATTTTCACCTTTCTGATTACTTAAAACACAAAAAAGCAGTTCAGACTGAGTTTCAATGAGTAGTGGAGCAGCTCAAATGATTCCATTATTTTCAGATAAGTATCTCTTTCAAAGGGTGTCTCAAAGCACCAATGCATTTGGCTAACAGCACAGTATGAATTATGCACAGAAGTAAAAAAATTATATCGTTCCACTCAAGCATTAACCTTGCATTATCTGGCACAGTCCCAAGGCTTCAGCACAACTTCTAATAACTGCAGATAGTTTGAGCTGAATAGAACAGTCTAAGCAGAGTCAAAGAAGCTTAATGAATACGTACCTGTGATTCATACGACTCTTCTGCTAGTTCAGCATAATGCTCTTCAATTAGCACATCTCGGATATTCACAAGGTCCCTGTGTCTTGTGTAGTGGAAAGCATCTACATGCAGAGCACTATGCACAAGTGAAAACACCTCAACTAGAAGAGTATAACCGTTTACTAGCGAGGCAAACCTCTGGCTAGCACTGTGACTCCACCGTTCCCCACATACAAGAGATTTCGCAGATGGTCGCATCTTGCATATCTTGAATTCCAAAGCCTAAAGCAAAAACATTAAGAGCAATGTTTGCCCAAGTAAAGAATGAGCATGATAATCTTTCATTTTCTCAACAGTTTGACTACATTATAATATGACTTCTTAATTATTCCAAAGGCTTATGTTAATTCCTAAGACTGCTGCAAAATGATTGTCCCAATTCCTATTCTGTCATTGCCAACAGAGCTACACATTAAGTCTTCTATCACAACTCAGTGCTGTAAGAAGTTGCAAACTGAGCATAAATAAAAGACGAATTGGTATTAATTTACCACTCATATCAAAATTTTAATAGTCTAGAAATGTCTTCTCTGGAAAAATTTTATTATCTGCAGCCCTTTTTAACTAAGGTAATACATAATAGCAGACAAGTCAGTTCTCATTTAACCCTTTTCCAGAATTGCTACCTGTAATGATAGTCTTGAATGAATTTAAGAAGAGAAACTCTTGTTTCCTAGCCATTTTGAAAAAGAGGTATTGAGATTACTTAGAAATGCTAAGAACAGAAATAAAACTATAGTTTTGCTGGTTTCTTCAAACACTCTAGACAACAACGACATATGACATGTTTGTTACAATGAATTTAAAATACCTGAATGAGGACTGGAAAAATAAATTTTAGTTAAAGTAGTTAATGTCTTTGTAAATATAGTTCTAAAGAATTATTTTTATGAAAAGCTAGATACTGAATAAAGTCCTTCAGACTTGCTTTACAAATCACTATTGCATTTTTTCAGGCAGAATTATTTCGAAAATGGAAGTGAAGACAGTAGCTAAAAGAACACAAACTAAAACCAGACACTTCTATCTGGTTTAAATACAGCAAAGCTCTCCCATACATATTTGTCCTGTGGCTAACAGAATAGCACAGGAAGAGAAACTAAAATACCCTGTACAATAACAATGCAGAAGACATTGCCACTACAGACTTCCACCACACAGGTAAGAAGATATCTTATCTGTGATGGTGACAACTAAGATTAAGCAGAGGATAAGTAATTAAACTAATAACTAACTGTTTCTCCTCTCTGGGCTGTTTTCTGGGCTCCATAAATGAAGCTGTCATTTGCTCAGAGATTCTTAAACCAAAGTACTGCTAACCTACTGCTCAACCTGTTAGTCCTGAGCTTCAAGCAAGCTATAGAGGAACCAGAACAACATTCTCTTTCTTTTCATTAAACTGAAGGACAAAGAAACTCATGACCAAAAGCAAGAAGCAGCAGAAATCAGCTGTCTGAGCAATTTCCTCTCATTTTCTACTGCTCTTGTGATTACAGGTGGGAGAGAAAACCCAGTACAATGCTAACAAAGGAAGAAACTTAGTTTAAACATTGTTACAAAAATAACACAATGCTGTTGAGATTTTTTTGTCATTCATTGCTGTTGTTTCTATGCTGTTCGTTTTTTAATGCCTAAGGCAGGCAGCAAGTCCATGTGTTTTCATTTTGCTTTTTGTTTCACACGCTCCTTCCCTCCCCACTGCCCCTAAAGAAAAAGGGTGGATAACACTTCTCTGCAATCATATACAATGCAATTCACTTACAAGAATTGCTTGTTCTGTGTATAAGTACCTGGGAACACATTTGTCAAACCAGCTGTAGTATTAGGAAAGATGATTTGTAAGATGTAGGACATTACTAACATATGCATTAGTTTGTTATTATTATGAAAAGCATTATGACTTGATGTACAATTCTGTTTCCCATACGAGACATGAAAAAATCCCTACCTGGAAAGGAAGCTCTCGAAGGCTGCTTGGAATCTCTTTCAGTTTTTTTAAAGGCACTTTTGACCTATCACCATAATCTACAAAAAAAACCTGACGGGGAAAAAAAGAACCAGGAGCATCAGTAGAGTCTCAACAGCATTAGATACCATACTTCTGTGGAAAGAAAAGTGACAACTTGAGCTTAATCTTATCAAGTGAAAGAGAATCATTTTCAGAGTCTGGAAAATATGCTAATCAAGAAAACCTGAAAATAATAGGTCAAATATTTATAACATGTATTATTCAATCCCTTGGTGTACACCCAAGAGGTGGTGGAGTCTCCTTCTTTGGAGATACTCAAAATCCATCTGTATGCTTTCCTACCCAACCTAATATAGGGAACCACTTTAACAAAAGGTTGGACTGGGTGATCTCCAGAGGTACCTTTCAGCCCCTACAAAAAAAAAGAAATGCACCAATGTATTAATTCACCCTATTCTGGCAATACAATATGCTGATTTCATTTTAGTTCTAGTTTTCTAGATTTGTTCTCTTTAGTGGAATATAATTGTCATGAAAATAATCCTTAATTAAAATTCTTACAAAAAAAAGCTCCAAGATAATTACAGTTAACCCTGTTACCTCTGGGTTAGCAATTTGATACAACATAATGCACTACTGTACCTCTGCAAAATCTCCAGAAACATAAAGAATACGAGCTCTGTAGTATCCTGTGTTTTCAAGACGAGTGAATGGTGCTAGACAAACCAACTCTGGATGTGGAGATATTGACAGATCTGTCAAGTTCTGGTAGTTCAACTCAGCAGTCAGAGTCTGGAGTACAGACCTATTTTTTTCATCTATCCTGTACCCCCAGAAGTGTCCAACTTCTACTATCTGAGAATAGAAAAATTAGACAGTATCAGATCATGTCATTACACTCGTCCACATCAAGTACAAAACAGCTTTGAGCAAAATATCTGAAAGCACTCCTACTCCTGACACACACAGAAGTTTTCTCACAATGCAATGAAGCGTTCGTCTCTTGTAAGAGGTTATTCTTCATAACATCATGTTTTTAAATGTCTCTGTAATTACAATACACTTTTCACCTAAGTAGGCTGATAGAAGTATTACTAAAATGCAGAAAAGTAGAAGAACACTTCCAAATAAAGCCAACACATTAAAAATTTAAGATATATAGATTTAAGGTATATTGATTAAATAGATGCATATAGCTATGGCACAATGTTGTTGTTAGTGAAAAACACTAGAGTTAGCTACGTATAAAAGCAAATTGGCATTGGTACATTACAACTAGCCATTCTTCAGGAAACTGATAACACCACTATTTCAATCAAGTTGAACAACCCTTTTTCCAATTGCTTCTGAACTCATCTGCTACTTCTGATATCATATTGAATGTGTCTGAAGAAGTGTTTACTGTGGATCAAAATACATAGCAAAAAAGTACACAGCACAGATTGGAACATGTTTGATCATCAAATCCATAACATTTTTGGACTAAGAGACTTAGCTGAATAAACTAAAGAAATTATTCCTTTCTGCCTTTGCACAACATTCCAGTTCTATCAAGAGCCACTTTAATACTTCAGCCTCTATAGTTTCCATCAGTTGTTAGGATTCTTTTTATTTCAGCAACATATATTGCTTTATATTGCTCAAACTGTTCAAGAGACAATAATTAACACAAGACCTAAACATTTTCAGCTTCAGATTTCATAAGTATTTGTATATACATATCTTCCTTTAACACATTTATGCATGCAGTGTCTTCTTGAAATGATCACACAGTACCATTAACTCATTTCTCACATCTGCAACTTCTGAACAAAGCTATCAGATAATAATAATAATCAGGCCCAATAAATGCACAAATATCTACTGATACTCATTTTTGTAGAGAACACAAATATTACATCTCTACCATTCATCTTCTCTACATTCATACCATCTTTCAGCTATCAACTGGCATTAGCATCCATTCTTTTCACTAAAGCTTGTTCAATACTTAGCTCTAGTGTCAGCTAGGTACTGATTACTGTTATGACCTTCTTCAGATACAGAACATTCCTACCTCTGTTACACTGATGGACAGAAGACGATTCGGAATCATCTTTAACAGCTGTGAAGTACCAAATGAGACTTCTACAGGCTCCACTGTCTGCTTCTGATAGTCCACATTCACTCTGAAATTCAAAGAATAAAAATGTTAAATACTCCACTCGGAAGTGAAAATTTAAGGGTTTTTTTCTTTGTTTGCTTTCACTGCTTCTTACAATGATGAGGTGCACAGGTATGAATGTAGAAAATGAGGGACGGGGGAGGGGGATGGAATTAAAAAAAACAAATCCAATGATAAAGTCATGAAAATCACACTTGTAAAGTAAAGTTAAGCCCTAAGACTCACTTATGTGTTTAACCTTTACTTGAAAATGCATTTATTTGATTAGACCATAAAATGACTACACAGAGCCAACATACCACAGGAGAAACTAAGATGCAATTATGACAAAATAGAAAGATTCAGGAAGGTACATACCAAGAATCAACTGTATCATCAGCTTACTAGAAATCCAAAGAATGAAGGTTAAACAGTGGAAGTTGTTGGATTTTTTTCTTCTATGGTATGACTTACAAATGTATTTTAAGAAACAATCTGAATATATTACTGCACAATTAAAAATTCAGCATATCCTCCCTCCCTGATTCCCTACAGAACGTGGTTACCTTAAAGAGTCCATGCTTGTAACTGTCACATGTTGCAACTCCTTTTTGATATCATCTGGATAATGAACATCCAGTTCAAGAGGAATTTTCAGCTGTGACATTTTGATTGACATGTACACTGCAGGAAGAACCTTTAAACCCTCCACGGGGTTATGGGAAAACTCTACTAAAGCCCTATTAAAAAAAATTCCAAAACAAAACAAACAAAAAACCAAAAACAAAACAAAAAAACACACAAGAAAATTTTATAATATATATATGTGACAGGAAAATCAAAAGTAAACCAAGACAATTATAAAAACAGAAAAGCTATCATTTTTTTTCCCTGCCCTTATCACAGGGAGTCAGAGAACTACAAAATGTGTTTTCCTTACAGGTCTCAATTATATGCCTAAAACTTTTCTTTTAACTGTTCTTGTAAAAAAAAAAAGTTTTCTAGCAGTCTCACATGAACGTACCAAATTCACTACATTTAATACAAATAGAAAGAACGCGAAGATACATGTGATTTTTATTTTTATTTTTTTTTGAAAAGGGAAAAGCATAAAAAGCATAAAAACATGGAATGATGTTTGGGCACTTCAGTCCTGCAGACCAGCTAACATTGCCAAATTGCATGCATTTTGTAAAAAGCCATTGGTACCATCAGATGAACTGAGTTCACTATATAAATAAGAAACAAATACAGACAGATCAGCTGCAGTTAAGATTCTTTGTTACAAAACAAAAGAAACAGGACAAATTGGCCTCTACGGCACTAGCTTATCAAATGTTATTCCAATCAATACATACTCAATTTCAAAGCTCCCTTTTTTATTCAATCAATCAAAAACAATTTGTTGATTTCTGACAGATTAAATTAGAAATGTTCATTTTGTCATTACACCATTTTAAAAGAAGGAAAGTCATTAGCCAGCTCACAACTGAGACCAACAAACAAGCATGATGCTTAAAATATTTTGTGCTTACCTTGATCCATCATACGTAACAGATTTTACTTGTCCACACTGTCTAAACTGTGACTGCAACTGATTATGGTATAGATAACCATAGGGAGGAATATTCTTCAGCTGTTAAGAAAAGTCAAGTTAAGCTTGGACACATTCAACCACTTTAATACACTATTAACTTCATCTAAATAATTAGTTAGCTCTTATCTTCCTCCTTCACTTGAGCTACAATAGTAATGATCTAAGAACCCAATTAAGAAAAAAAACCATACTGCATTAAATTAAAAAAATCTGAAAAAAAAATTTCTGCTGCTAATTACTGCCCTACCTCATTCCTCCTGGAGTCAAGATTCAAGAAAAGTTCTCAATAGTGGGAGAGGATAGAAGTGAAGATTTCATGAAGAAAAAAAAGAAACCAACCCATAAAACCTAATGAAACCACAGGGGCTGCGCTGCACTGCAACAGCTGTCTGATCACAAAGCTGCTCTGTATCACTGTGGAAGGTCACGGAGGCTGGGACAAGGCCCTGACAAAAGAGTAGGAAATGTTCCATCCAGATTTTAAAATTATAAGAATGACCTGGGGAACTACAGGCAGGTCAGCCTCACTACAGCCTCTAGACTAAGCACTGATCTATCAGATACCCAAACACTTTCCTAGGTTAATCTGAGCCATTCCGCAGAAGCAAAGACAATTTCAAACTTGTACTTATTCAATCAGATAAAAATGTCTACGGAGTCAAAAGAAGAAAGAGAATGCAACATCCAAGTAACCTTAAAAATAATTGGCATGTTTGTCACATACTACTAAGTACAAGATTACAGAACAGTAACACTGAAGCTGTAACAACTCTTTCAACTCAGAAGTGCACTCTCTCAAAACCTTTTATTAGTTTTCTGAAAGACCAGCAATCAAATGTGTAGAGGCTGAAGTCGGAATCCTTTTTAAACTGCCCACCCACACAACGTGTATTGTAACAGAAGAAAGGAAGATGACATACCAGGTGAGAAATACTTACATACCCTGATTCTATCTCGTCCCAAGACAGAAAAAAACCTTGAGAAATACCACTAACATTACATATTCCTATTATTTGATGCTTGATTACATCATTCAACTTCATAACATACCAACACGGTGGTTTTTGGATCTTTGCCACCAAGCTCCCTCACTGCACCTTGTTCATTACATTTTTGAAAAGAGAAGTAGTTTGGATAGAAAGCACCAGCCATTACAACCTGAAATCAAGAAAATATTTTCTTTTTTTAATTACAGCTTATTCTAATATTCGGTTTCTCAAAAAGAGATAAAGTTGCAACATGAAGCAATACCAGCACATCTTAATATGATTTTTTTTTTCCTGCCTTTTAGCAGAAATTACTGTTGTTCCCAACTGAAGTTTAACTCATGCAAATCCTATCCATTTAAAACATACTCTCCATGACTTCAGCTTCTGGAACAGTATTTTAATATGTGTATTTTAATATGCATGCAGACTAAGTCAAAACTTCAATGGCTAACCTCTCTTTTAAAAGAATGTCAATTTCAAAGAAATCCATATACAATACTCTGTGACAGCTGTTCAATTTTCACATTACATCACACAGTATTTAACAATTCAGCTCTGAAAAGTTCACTATTTACACCGTTAAGTCAACTGCTGTTGAGATGATAAGTCTGTGAAAACAAAATCACTACTCATCAGTCCAAATAGGAGAAGAAATGTCATTAGAAAATTGAAGGAAGTTACAGTAGCTGAGCAATCTTATTTTTCCCTCCAGTAACAACTCAAGCCAGTGGCAATTTCAACAGAGAATTCAAAACAAGCAAAAACATCTTTTTCATAGACGTTAGTTTTTATCATTTCAACTCAAACCTGTCTTCAGAGTATTTTTTATGACTTAAACAAAGATTAACTGAGATACAAGGTTAATTAATCTCAGTATCATTTCATTTCAATTTAATGAACTGACAGAAACAAAGGGATTGCTAAAGGTCCAATACTCCAACCATAACATTATTCGTGCTTTTAATTATCCAAAAAAAATGTTTCAAATGCAATCTTAAAAATTTACAAGAAATCTGAAACATAGGATATCTCAAAGTACTAGTTGGAAATGGTATGTAAAAACCCAATTACAAACTTTGGAAGTAATATCTCTGCCCAAAGAATTATTAAATAATTACCTGCAAAATGAAATGTTGTTTATATGCATACTCCTGATCCATCGCAGACAGCTGAGTATTAACATGCATGTTAAATTGTTTGACTCTTTCTTTCAGAAGCTCAACTAACTCTGCCACCTGAAATTCCAGCTCTAGTTACATTTAACAGATAAAATCCAACCCGAACAACAACAACAAAACTTAGTAAAAGTCTAAGCAAGAAGGTAAGCCCTCTTACTTTTTAAGTGACATTAATATCCATTTCATCTAATATACTGCTTAGCATCTTCACTAGTACTTTTAAAATGCAGTACTAGATTTTATTTTGCACACCTTTAAGTTCTCATGTGACACGTAGCCAAGTGCCTGTAAGTGTTCAAGTTAACACTGCTTTCAACAGTGTTTATTTCTTTGAGAGCGAAAAGATGATCTCACGTACTCAGTTTAAAGAAGATATGTACCGAGATATATACACACAGTTGTACATTAAGTAGGCTTATCCACGATATTACCATCTGTAAAAACATCTCATTCATAAAAATGACTACTTCAGCTCACCTCTCTGACTTTCTTGATATGAACATAATTTAATTGACCCCACTCAAGCTCATCCTGGAGAAGAAAGTAAGAAGTGCAAATAAGAAGTAAAATAGCAAAGAAATTTCTAACAACTATGATGTTCTCTCACATTCTTTAGTGTAGACACAAATAATAGCTACATACAATGAAAAACATGTTACCTCATTTCACAGCTCTCTTTACTTCTGACCATGCATTTTGATAATATATTTGACTACAACTGTACTTGGATTATCAGCAGTGCAGCTGTGGAGCATTAAGACTTCTCATATAAATCCAAATGTTCAACGCCTCTGAGCTGCTAGTACAGAATCTCCTTCAAGAAGATGACTACCTCAAAACAGAAGACAACCTAGAACTTCTTAAGATCTAGAACTTCAGATATTCACTATAAATCAGTGCACGTTGTGCGCTGATATTCATAAAGCACACTATGCTCTGACTTAAATGGAGAAATCAAAAGCATTTTATCTTACACATAGAAAAAAGACTACAGGCAGTTAATGTGTGCATACTACTGGACTTCTGAGACTGATACACCAAGATCTTCCATCCTTCCAGATGCTCCCCCCAAAAGACACCCATGATTAGAGAAGTGTCTTTCAACTACAGCTCAAGTTCCCTTCTCAGTTTAATTTCAAACATTCTGGCCACTGTCAATCCATCTAACACAGGGACTAAGTAAGATGTTCTCTTCAAATACTAGAACCAAAGACTCACTATGACACCTCAAAACCTGTGCTTCTATTTACTTATGACAATGACAATCATAGTAAAGAAAAAATGCCAGTCTGAATTCCTTACTAAGACGACAGAACACTCCAGTACTGAAGTCACCAGTTTCAGTATTGGACAGAAGTGATAAAAAAGTTTAACTAACCTTGGGATGTCTCAGGTCCCCATTCTGTCTGCACATCTGCCACGCCTAAGAAAGAAGTGGCTTAGTATTCAAGTACAAACGGTCAATAATAACAAAAAAAAATCATGCCATATTGAAAACTATGAAGATTTTCCACACCTACGCTTAGGATAATTTTAAAATATTAATTTAGAAATCAGAGGTGTCCTTCAGCTAACACTATTATACACAGTAGGGCCAACTTGGATGACATTTTTGATGTTTTTACCAAGGTCTGAATACTTCCAAGGATGGAGATTCCATAACCACTGCAGACAAACTATTCTATTGTTTGATTACATCTCACAGACAATTTCTACCCCTCTTCACTGCAGCATATCAGCAGAACCTCTCTTGATGCAACTTGTGTCCACAACATCTTGTCCTGTGGCTGCACACTTCCAAGAGGAGGCCTGGCTTCCAACCTCTAATCCTACACTCTGCCATGAGGTACAGTAGAAGTCATCAACTAAGATTGCCCTTTAGGCACCCTCTTCTTAGGGCTGAACAAACTCACCTCTAAGCCCTTCCCCACATATGTTCCAGCACCCCATGGGGCCTTCTGTAAGACTTTCAGTATTTCCATGTCTTCCAGTAATTCAAAGTCTCTTTGGCACTACAGAGTTCAGAAGCTGACACCATATGCAAAAGTGAGCCAGTGACAGGAATCTTAGTTCTATTATAGCATTACTTGCAACGCTCAATTGGGTATTAAGAAATTTGTTCAAAAAAGGATGCTTTGGCAGTAAATCAGGCTGTCCATACATTTTTTGCAGTCTCCTTCCTCCAAGATTTCAAGTACTAAGCTGAATAAAGCCCTGAATGATCTTGACTGATCTCACCAGAGGACTGGACTTTAGACATCCTGAGTTGTTTTTTTTTTTTTTAAATGATTTTATTCTTAAGATATGATTGTGATTTTAAGTCTTAAGATGATTCCTCCTAAGCAGATAAAAAACACTCCTCACTCTAAGAACACTCTTACACTGATTTTATTGAGCACTGGCATGAACTCTGGGTCTTTGGCTTACGCAATGACAAAAGTGATGCAGCTGCAAGATGTAATTTTAACAATGCATTACTGAGGATCTGAAAAAAACTGGCTGGGTTATAAAAGTTACATCACTCTGAAGAAAAAGAACATAAATCGTTTTGTGTTTCATATGATTAATACTAGTAACTTCTTTCTGCTTGCTGCTTAACTACTATTTGTTCTGCTGGATGCAATCAGACATCAACTTTAAAGACACCTTCATCAGTTGGAAAGAATCTGCATCCCATGTAAAACAGCTTCTTCATGATTAGAGGGCATCAAGAAAACCTAAGTCTCATGTCCATGTCTTGCTCAAAATCTGCTTTTACTTCTGGCAAGCAGAAATGGTGCATTTTCTTTCCTTCTCCACTCTTCAAACTGTTCTGCACTTGCTTAGGTGAACAGTAAAAAA